GCTCTTCCGTCCATCTTTTTTCTCCACATATCAGCGCAGGGTCGACAATGACAAAGAATTCTCGAATTCTCACATTTTAAATTCTAATTCATATTGTTCACACAAAGTTCTCGACCTTAATTTTCACTCAGTTCCAAGATTTCTTTAAAATCAAGGTGTCCATACCCTGAAAAAAACATGGAGAACTTGAAACTCTCAGGGATTTCTTTTTTATTTGGAAAAATCAGAAAATTCTCATGGAATTTTATTTGTACACAGAAAATTTTTTTAAAATTCTCTCTTTGATAATTTTGCTCTTATATTGTTAGCAATCGGCAAGCCACGTGAATTATGTATTTAAATACATATATATCTATCTCTTTGTTTATATATTTTTAATGTCCTTAACAAAATATTGCAGTACATATTTTTTTTTATTGCAATTTTTAGTGATAAAAAAAATTAAAATGTTATATGCAAGTGAAAAATGTTTATTTTACGAAAGTTATTCAGTTTTTTCAGTACATTACAAATCTAATAGTTGAAACTTAAGTGGCTTTATGTGTTTTCTTCGTATAAGTGAAGATCATTAAAAAACACATACAATAGAAAAACTTATTTTAGAAAAAGTTGTATCAAAAAATCTTGAAAATATTTCCTTTACCTGATATTTTGAGCAAAAATACCTGAAAGGCCAGGGATTTTTTTTTTGACTAGACATCTTGAAGATTGATTTAATTTAAATTCAACTCACATTTATTTAGCCGAAGGTATATATTATATTCGAGCTTGCAAAGCAAGAGATAATTATATTAAAAATTCGAACTGCAATTCAAAATACAATTAATACTTATTACCGTAAAATATTATATTTTCTAGGGGAGAGAAGAGAATTGCGGAAAAGATTGGAAACTTTACAAAATATAGAAAACTTAGCCTCTCTACACTTTATTTATCTACTCTATATTTTTTTCTATCACACGTGTACTATGAATCATTATAAAATCATCCTTTTTATATTCCAAGACATAATAAATCTCATTTTATTCTGCTTCGTTCTGTCAAGATATATTAGGCGATAATTATTATACAAGATTATAATTATATGTATAGACAAAAATATCTTTAAAGTCAAGAGGTGCTCTCTTTCTCTGTGTGTGCACTCCCACCGCGTCGCCCTCAGCGCCTATCCTAAGTGACGGGCTCGATCAACGGCGCACTCGGCCTTAGTCGCGTGCCGTTAGTCCGTTGCGAATCAACGCAGTTGTTATATGTACGTGGAAGTCGGCACGGTCCGATTCGGCGGTGTCCCATTTCGCGAATCGCGCCGACATAGCGCGATGCGTATCGCTTCCTCGCTTACGTGATCCGCATCGCTTATTAAGCCATTGAAAAAACGCAGTTGCATAATGTAATGCTGATAGACGGATACGCTTTTTAAAAGTGAGAAAAGACAAAAGATTTCTTTTCGAATCGATTGGAATTAATAGGCGATCCTTTGAACAAGTGTATGTATATTGGACGAGGATAATCCGACCGATCTTTTCCGCGAAAAAATGTGAGAATATTGTGAGTGTAAAGATTAAATGTGAGATCGATACGATGGTTAACTGAATCCATTATTCTCATCAAAGAGCAAAAAAAAAATTGATTTTGAGAAAGTTTAATATTTCAACTTTTTATAAAGAAATAATAGATATATTAATTTCGTTAAATAAGAACGTGTATGCATAGAGATACACAAGTTACCAATCGTAAAAATCTATGCAAACTATTATTCATCGTGAAAAGAGAGAAAATAAAAATCTGAAACTTTTATAACTTATATATGTCATTAATTTAAGTATCAATAATTAATAATTTTTATAAACAATGCAGTGAAACGAGATTGATATTTATCGAATACCAAACATTGGAAGCAATCTATTATCGCGAGATAGTAATAAAACTTAAAAGGTTTAATAACACACACATACTGTATCATTAATAATTTTAATGTGAACAGTAATTTTTATAAACAATATGAAATTGTATATAAAGTATCACGTATATTATATATGAAATCAAGTATGTAAAATATATATACATGTATACTGATTTCATATAAATATATATATAAACATATCAAAACACATTTTTATTTATCTAGTTATAGATATATAAAAACTCTATAAATATACGATTATAATTAATCTTTGAAATAAAAACATAGAACTTGGAATTATATAAGAAATAATAAACAGTACATCACACTAGTTCGAATGCCGATGATGATTTTTATGAACAGTTTTTGTGAATAGTGATCGACGATAAAATATATTGATCGTATGCAAAAAAATCGGGACAATCTGTAATTTCGGGGAACCCAAGATAGTACAGACAGTTATTGAATTTCGAGTAATCATCGATCCTACGAACATAACTCGAAGAAGGATCTATTGATGCAATCTCGATTCACAGATACAAGAACAAGTTCTGGAAAAAAAAAAGATCTATACCTAGATGACAAATATTTAAAAGGATTCGAGAATTCATAACCGGTGCCTAAATACATTCTATACAGAAAATCTAGAAGAATTATATACGTGATAAAAAATTAACAATTCCTTTCAAATGTAAAGTAAATTCCCTGAATGAAGAAGAAGCAAAAGAATAAGTCAAGATGAACGAGGTCTTACGAACTAAAGCGTGATGAATAACAGTAATAAAGAACTCTTATCTGTGATTTAAAACAAACATATGCTACAGAAAAAAAAAAACTAATAAAGAATTTAAAATAAAAATAAAATAAAAAATTAATATAATAGAAGGAAGAAACGAAACACACACCATATACAAATCTCTGTGTAAAAACAACAGAAGAAAATATCTGTGATGTAATAGTTATGAAGAACTAGTCGTGATCTAGTCTCACAATCTTTGAAAATTGAGTGAAACTCGATTTTAATTTCCTGTTTCGGGACAAAGAGACGGAAGAGAAGCAATCGTAAAATATCTCGGTGATCGATCGATTTTTTAATCTAAATCATGGCGCCGGCGAACAATCTCGACTGGTCAGAGCCGTGTCAGCAGTGGCGATACCCGAAAATCTTTCCGGCGACGACCGATCAGAAAAATGAGCGTCCCAAAAGTGCCGTGGAATTGAGTGGCAAAGAGGCAAACACCGCCTACAAAAAATTCTGCAAGTTTCTGCGCCGACTAGGCAACAGAAAACGTAAGTCCGTCCAGCGGTCGACATACTTCGAATGTTTGCACCATGTTATATACACTTTATAGTATTATACAGGATCACTTTCAAAAGTATTTTTAAATTTTACCAGATTATAAATTGCTATAAATTACTATGTAAATTATTATAAATTAAATTGCTATAAATTAATGTTCCTTTCTACTTTACTAAATTCTGCTATATAACAATTCATAGATAAAATTTTATACTGTTACAAAAATATTTATTAGTAGACTTTAAATTAATATAGTATTTGATTTCTATAAAAAGAAACTTAAATTTTTATATGATATATAATTGATTTCAATAATTAATAAAGTGACTAATTTGACAATTTTTTTGTGTTTTTATTTTACTAAATAAATGTTTAAAAAATTTTTTATTTTTTAATAATATACTTTGTTTATTTATTCGAATTTTCTATAACTTGGTTTTCACGTAATTATGCTTTGTTAACACACACACACACACATCGAATTAATTTATTAATTTTTCGTTTTATTATACTAGAGTTTTTCTATTACTATATTATTATTTATTATATATTTAAATCTTCCTTGATGATGATTCTGATACATCCTACATTCTCATCCTACACTCTCATTTTATCAAAGAAAATCAATACGGTCTTTATCTTCTCATGGCAAAGAAAAAAAAAGGATTCGCTGCTCATCGGCGCGTCATGGAGCGTCACCTGGTTTCTAGGGCAATTTCTCGCCAACGTGATTTCCGTTCGAATGATCGATTGATCTTCATGATGACGTATTAATAATGTCGTCAAGTATACGGTTCTTTGTGTATCGACAGCGCGTGATCCTCTGACATTTACGCCTCCTCTCCGTTGGTGCTGTATTTACTCTTGGTCGCACCTACTCTGTATCGCTTGGTTTTTCTATTCGAGAGTGAGAGAAACGACAGATAGGAGGAAAGGAGAGACGGACGAAGGGGCGAAGGGAAAATTGATGGGTATCTGTTACCCTCGATACTGTTTCCCGCGAGAACGCGCCGAGGGAGGCTCTTTCCGTTACGGTAACATAACTTGAATGCTTATTGTAAAATTCAAGTAAATGTTCAGTGATTTTTTTTGTGATTGTGTATAAAGTAATATAAAGCGAAGTGACAAGAAAGCTTTAAGGCATATTATATATAATAAATTATTCTATTAGAGCTGATAATTCTTTTTTATTTTATTTTATTTTTTTTAAATAATAATAATAATGTATTATCGTATAATAAATAGTTTCTTTTTAATACACACAATTGCACATTTTATAAATATATTGTCTTTAAATATTAATAACAGAAGATCCGTGAAATCGGAACAATTTCGCGGAAATTGTAACCCTTAGTAAATTTAATCGTAGAAAATCGCCTTAGATTTTTTCTCCCTCTTTTCTTCCCGGTGTGATTAAACCCCATTTTCTTTATCCGCACGATCCGTTTTAAACTAAGTACGATCGTTCTCGACGCCTACAAAGAGGTTCTCGATATAACGTCCACCATGAGGAACCCTCACTTAAGTCACGTAAAATGTCACAACGAGAGCCGATATGTGCCTCTAAAGCTTTCTTGCTTCACAGGTCTTCCGATGCGCGCCTAACGCGATAAAAGGGTCTAACAGCATGCGCGTTGCAGCTGCTACATCGCTTCATTGCATTTTTTGTCATATGTGCTGGATATAGCCTAGCTAGCTGTGACTGGTTGGCTGGTTTTTCTAGCTTCGATTATAGCTTGACCCATTTTTTTCCTCCACAACAATCTTCACTGGATTTATTATCTTCTTTTTCTATTCCTTCTTTCTTTCTTTTAAGGAGATATCTTAGAGAGATATCTCTTCCGGAGACATCGGAAAATATTTTGATAACGGTAGGAAGACGAGGGGAGAGGGGGATTCATCTTTAACATTTATAAAATAGTAAAAAATAATCAAATAATTATATTATTTAAAATAATATAT